CAGGAAAAACCAGGACTAAACCAGAACTAAACCAGGACTAAACCAGACTAAACCAGGACTAACTAAACCAGAACCAGACTAAACCAGACTAAACCAGGACTAAACCAGAGGACTAAACCAGAACTAAACCAGGACTAAACCAGAACTAAACCAGGACTAAACCAGAACTAAACCAGGACTAAACCAGACCTAAACCAGGACTAAACCAGAACTAAACCAGAACTAAACCAGGACTAAACCAGAACTAAACCAGTAAACCAGACTAAACCAGAACTAAACCAGGACTAAACCAGGACTAAACCAGGAACTAAACCAGGACTAAACCAGAACTAAACCAGGAACTAAACCAGGAACTAAACCAGAACTAAACCAGAACTAAACCAGGACTAAACCAGAACTAAACCAGGACTAAACCAGGACTAAACCAGCAGACTAAACCAGACTAAACCAGAACTAACTAAACCAGGAACTAAACCAGGACTAAACCAGAACTAACACCAGGACTAAACCAGAACTAACAGCAGGTCTAAACCAGGTCTAAACCAGGACTAAACCAGGTCTAAACTATGGCTAAACAATGTGTCACCTAACAGTAGGTTGACATAATTGAAGGCATGATCTCATATCAAAATCATTTCTCTATCAATAATATTTTTTAATTTGCTTAAGTGAAGACTGGGCTTTTTTATTGTCTTTCAGCAGACAAAACATCTTATGATAAAATATCCTAGTCTTTACTTCTCTACTGCAAAAAATTACCTGTTCATGGAGACTTGGGCTCAACAGACAATTTGAAGAGAACAAACAAGAATTTTCAGGATGAGTTGCTACATTCATGTCGTTTAAAAAAGCATGAACATATCAAGTAATCCAAAGTATTCAGATTACGTTACTCACTTTAAGTAATTTCATGGATTCCGTTACAAACTACATTTTGAGGTATGTAATCTGTAATCTGTAGGGGAATACATTTTAAAAGTCACTGTTTATAATAAACTACTTTCAGTGCTAATTCTAAGCCATATGAACCATGTATATTCATAGTGGATGTTTTAGGCATTTTATTATGAATTAAATACCGTACTTTCCACACTATAGGGCGCTCTGGATTATAAGGCAGACTGTCATAGAATGGTCTATTTTCAAACAAATAAACAAATAAACACAAATATGGAAGATAATTTGTTTCATTAGATTTTGAATTTTAAATGCCGTTGAATTTCTCACTTTGAATTTTTTAACTCTGAAAAAACATGTTTGAATTATTTTCAGTCTGAATGAGACTTAACGAGTACATTTTCAAAGTGTTTAAAATTCAAAATAAAAATGTCACCTTTTAAATTCAACAGTCAAAATTCAGAGTGTAAAATTCGCAGTGAAAAAAATTAACAGGAATGATCCAAGATGCCAAGGCCGAAGCAATCGATTTGAAGTGATCCGATTTAGTAACAAGCAATCTGATTAGTCAGAATCAACCTCATCAAAATCTCCTCTCTTTGATTTCTTACGTGTAAACCCTGCCCACAGATGAGAACAGTCAATAGGAAAAAGACTGTCCTCCTTGCTCACATGATCGATTGCTTTTGCCTTGGCATCTTGGATCTTTGTGGTGAAAATTTTCACAGCAAATTTTACACTGAATTTGAGGGCTTGAAAATATATGTTGTGAAATTATGTTGTGAAATTTTTACTTAGAATTTGAAACATATTGATAAAGTAAACTTAAAATTTCTGCAACTAAAATTCAGAATAAAAATAATTCAAACATCTTTCTTTAAGATAAAAAAAAAAAAAATCAAAATGAGTAATTCAGCAGTATTTAAAATTCAAAATGTGATGGAACAAATTATCTTCCATACACAAATAAACCGCACCGGACTTTTAACGAAACACAACAGTTGAATGGGTCAGTGGGACTTTGTTTGGTGCGTTCACGGTGACTCTGGGCTTTGTTCAGTTGTGGCGTGTAGGGAGGGGGCTGTCTGGGACCAACGGATTGTCGGTGTGTTCGCAGTGACTCAGTTGTTCAGTCGTGTCTAGAAGTGGCACACATTCGCATTCCGTTCCTCGTCGGCGTGGAGTGATGAGTGTGGCTGTGGGTGTTTTTCGCTGCGCGGTCGTGCTGAGTGGATTCGTGTATAGGGCGCTCTGGATTGCGGGCTGCGCAGTCGTTTTTTGATGGGGTTGGAGGCTTTTGAGCAGAAAATACGGTACTTGAAAAATTGAAATTGCACTAAAGCAGGGATCTCCAACCTGTAGCTCGCCAAAGGATTTCTGAATTATACGTATTGTGCTGAATAAGTAAAATTTGACTGATTAAATGCCTATTGTCATTGTAAATATATCATTTTGATGCCTGCAACCCCAACTCCAATGAAGTTGGGACGCTCTGTAAAACTTAAAAAAATACAGAATACCATGATTTGCAAATTCTTTTCAACCTATATTCAACTGAATAAACTACAGAGACATGATATTTAATGTTCAAACTGATAAACTTTATTGTTTATGCAAATATTCACTCATTTTCAATTTGATGCCTGCAACACGTTCCAATAAAGCTGGAACAGGGGCAACAAAAGAATGGGAAAGTTGAAGAATGCTTAAAATTCACCTGTTTGGAACATTCCACAGGTGAACAGGTTCACTGGAAACAGGTGAGTGTCATGATTGGGTATAAAAGGAGTTTCTCCGAAGGGCTCAGTCATTCACCAGTGAGGATGGGGTGATGTTCACCACTTTGTGAACAACTGTGTGAGCAAATAGTCCAACAGTTTAAGAACAACGTTTCTAAACGTACAATTGTAAGGAATTTAGGGATTTCATCATCTACAGTCCATAATATCATCAAAAGATTCTGAGAATCTGGAGAAATCTCTGCATGTAGGAACGTTGGAACGTGTTGCAGACATCAAATTGAAAATGAGTGAATATTTGCATAAAAAGTTTATCAGTTTGAACATTAAATATCATGTCTTTGTAGTTTATTCAGTTCAATATAGTTTTTTTTTTTTTTTAGTTTTACACAGCGTCCCAACTTCACTGGAATTGGGGTTGTAACTTAGTGCACTAATAAACAGATAAAAGTTTGTTTGATTGGCACTTAACTGTACCCTATCTAAGGCTGGCTGTGACTCTTATATTTACTCAATTTCTTGTGCCTGCTAAAACTAGGAGCTCTCTGGCATTTTCATTTTGTAAAAGTAGCTCAACAGAGGAAAAAAGTTGGACACCCCTGCACTAAGTGCAACTATAATCATGCCAAACTATTAAACTAGGAATTTTTCTGTTGCATCCAAGGACCAACAAAGTGTAAGAAGTTGAAAAAGTTTGTGTAGCTTCTTTGTTTGTAATACAATATAAAACTTGCACCAACCTTCATAGTTGTACTTTCAGAACAAACTTTGAGAGAGGATGGAAGCACGTGGATTTCACTGAATCGTTCTTCGCGCCGACAGCTTCAGCTCCTCCACAGGAACAGTCCGGCGCTGGTATTGACCACTCAAACGCGCTCGTCAATGCGCACACCTACACTCGTCCCACCATTTTGTCTGGGCTTGCAAACAAATCCGGCGTGAAGGAGTCGATTACGAACTGTGTGTACGCGCCAATGATCGTACCCCAACTCTCCAAAGAGGATACCAACCCCCCTCCCCTCTTCCCTCTTCCTCCCTTGCACTTCTATTCATGTGAGTCTCCAGTGCTTTTTCCACAAAGACGGTCTGAGACTTCGGACAGGAAGACTATCGCTAGGCAACAGGCGTTCAGGAATCCACAGTCCAGAACAGAGCCAAAACGCTTGTATCGCTGCTGTGTGCTCAAAAGATTATTAGGGGATAGATTTAACAGAAGCTAACCGTCCAAAAATACATTAATTTGAGGTAAGGCGTTTGTATACAAAGTGCAGCGGAAAAGGACAGCGGCGTATTTGTGTTAGCAAGGGCTTAGCTGGTTTTAACCGAAATATTAATAAAGGGATTAAAATCATAATGATGTGGTTTTGTTTGGGGGCAGATTAATATGCTTGGCCGCTTTTGAATGTCCCAGATTATGTTCATATGTGTGCAGTTCATTGTGCGGCTCAGTGTTTTTGCACTAGGACAGGCTGGATGTTCAGTTTACAGGAGCTGAACGGGGGATGTGTTTTAGGGATTAACTGCATAGGCCAGTACTAAACTACTAAACACATGCAGTATTAGTGTGGGGGCTTTTGTGGGGCAGTGTGCAGAGTAATTTAGGGCACTTTGACTCCAGAGGATATAAGAGTGGTTTGACTTGGGTTATATCGTCATAGGCACAGCATGTAGGACTCTACACAAAAATATGACAATTAGTGGTCTGTGCGGCCAGAAATAAAACATGTTCAAAGCAAATCATGATTCACTGTTTAAATGTGGCTTTAAAATAAAGATTGATTCATTATTACCTCATGTGTTTATATTTTGGTTTGGAAGCAGATAATCCTCAAGATCAGCTTTTACTTGTGTACAACTTGTGTTGACCTGGATCAGGAAGTACTTTATAGACATAAGCACTTTGGCTAACCTCAGGCACTACACTACTAAAGAAGTGAATGTGAACATCAGATCTAATTCATCTCTTTATATATATGAGCATTTGAAGGTCAGTGTGGCCCTGCTGGTTTTAAGTTTATTGTGACAGAAACATCTTAAGTTTGGTTTCTTAAAGATGATCCATCATTATAAACTGACTGCATCATTCTCACATTAGTAGAAAAGTGAGCCGAGGGTTGTGTGGTGTGTGTGGTGTGTGTGGTGTGTGTGTGTGTGTGTGTGGTGTGTGTGGTGTGTGTGGTGTGTGTGGTGTGTGTGTGTGTGTGTGGTGTGTGTGGTGCAGTCAGCAGTTCGTGTGTAATGTGCCTTGTAAAGTCTGTGTGACATCTGCTCAGATGGCTCCCTGTAGGTTGAATAAACTAAATCATTTGCTTTATTAAACATGAAGGATGCCTTCACATTGGAAACAAAAACACACAACTGATATGCTTGAAATGAAAAAGAAAAACCCACATTTTATTGCACTTAAGTTATAAGAAAATAAAATTCTAAGTGAATCAAACAATACACAATCCCTTTAAGTTTTTTTTCTGACGCTTTTCTTTTTGCCAGGCAGTTTTACAGAAACTGAAAATAAAACACCTGTGACAAATCTGATTCTCAAACCAGATCATAAATTAAACAGGGAGAAACAACAAGAGGAGATAGAGCCATTGTTTTTTCTGCTTTAATATACAGTGTTATAGCACTTTCACAGTTCAGCTTGAGTTGTGACTCTTGGAGATTGAGAGGGGTCTGTTGTGTTGTGGTCTGACAGCACATGGGGCTGGGGGCTCCAGCGCTGCTCTCCTCTGGAGCTTCAGACATCATTAAATGAACCATCACACAGAACGACACTTCTCACACACACAGCCCAAAGTCTCTTTGTTTTTGTGGCATTTGTACATTTCCCCAAAGAACAGGCCCAAAGAGCCATGTCCCCAGGAATGTGTTTACAAGTAGCCCATGACACACACACGCACACACACACGCACACTCCAACAGTGTACATCCCCATCCTCTGCAGGCGGCACGCCTCGCCGCAGCCTCGTAGAGGCACGTTTGGCTCAAGTTTCAGTGGCAAAAACAAACTCAAATCTAAATGTGGATGTTAACTTTAGTTTGGTGACTTAACGTCCAAACTGTTCAATTTGGAATTTTGCCTGGGACTAAAACGTCACAGTAAGTGAGAGTTCATGTCTTTTCCATTGGACTAGCAGCATAGATACAGTTTGGCCACTTGGGAAACATAGAGGGGGAGGGGCTGCAGGCCGACAGCAGAGGAGCTCCAGGTCCTCTCATAACAGCACTGCACAGCTGGACTGAAAACCTCTGGACAGCATCAATGTGCTACACACCCACCATGTGTACAACAGAAACAAAGTACTCCAACAAAATAACCCTGTGACGTCTCGACAGCAAACCTAAAGTGAGCACGTTCTAATACTGGGATCGGTTCCTATTGGCAACGGCAAGGACAGAAATAATTACAACAGGAAACTCAAATGATAAAGCAACGAAAAGTCCGGAAATTCACAGTTGTGGTTGTGAGACACTGTAAAGAAAAACCTAGTGAGAACCAAGTGGAAAAACATGAACGAAACGGAGTGACAAGAAACGAGCCTGACCCCAGGCCCCGCCCTCGGGCTGACGGCCAATGGTCTTTCAGCTTTCACTCCTTCACAACAAGCAGCTCATAAGGTGTGGAAATGCACGTGGAACATCTCCCTCAATCTCTTTGTGTACACGCTGTCTTCACTGCTCGGCTCCAGAGCAAGTGCAAGTGTTTGTGGGCATCGACGGGTGCTTTCAAAAATAATAGATCTCTGTACATGTCCCAGTCTGTCAGGCGTGAGATAAAACCAAGTCTGCGCGAAGCTAAACAACCCAACCGGGAAATGGCTCCGCTCAGTTCCTGCTTCCTATTATCTTCTCGTCCAATCAGAGGCGAGCTCCATGCCCCGTGTCCCGCCCGGTCCCCCTGACGTAGAGCAGGGTCAGTAACGCGTGGCCCAGGGGACGGGGTGCAGGGCGCGGAGGACAGGACGGCCGCTGTGCGAGGAGGACATCCGGGTGGGCTTTTCCTGACAGCCGCCCCCCTCTCCTCCCTCTCTCCCTCTCTGTCTGGTGTTGTCCTATGTCCCCGCCGAGTCCCCCTCACTTCATGTCCACGTCGAAGTCCAGCACCAGCAGCTTGGTCTCCTCGGTGCCGTTGCGACTGCCCACGGCGCAGACCAGTTTGGTGTTGGACGCCCTGATCCTCCACACCACGCCCCCGCTGCCCCCGCTCTCCAGGGTCACCAGGTTACGGATGAACTCGCCCGTCTTCAGGTCCCACAGTTTGACCGTGCCGTCGTCCGAGCTGGTGATCACGAAGTTCTTGTTGAACTGGAGGCATGTGACTGCGCTCTGGTGCTTGTGTGGACCTGTGGACAGAGAGACAGGGGGATACTGGTTAGAAATTCACAAATATAACTCAGTGTTGCTAAGAAAACTTTACTTGGTTTATTCAAATACACTATCAGCGTATTGTGTGTCTATATGATTCCCCTTGGCTCAATAATAATTTCCCTTGTGGAACAATAAAGTCTGTCTAAGTCTAAAAGTACAAAGCAGTGATCAAAGCAAAGGGTGGGTAATTTCAAACTCTAAAATCTGAAACAAGTTTGGAGTGAATTTGAGTTTTTGTTTGTTATTTTGTTTGTTATGTTCATTCACAGTTTTGATGTCTTCAGTGAGAATCTACAACAAGGTCATGGAAATAAAGAAGAAATATACCGTATTTTTTGGACTATAAGTCACACTTTTTTTCATGGTTTCATGGTGGTCTTGCGACTTATGCTCCGGTGCGACGTATATTAAAATTTTCAGACTGACAGCCGCAAGAGGGCGCTCTAGGCTCGTGTGTCAGTATCTGCTGCTCCTATTACTCCTGTACCACTGTCACTTCGCACTCTACTGCGCATGTCTCCTGCAGAAAAAGCCATTGTTCTGCTGCAAATAGTGAAATATTCAGTCGAAAATGGTAATCGAGCAGCAGAAGGAAAGTTTGGAGTGAGTGAGAAACTTGTGAGGAACTGGTGGAAAGGAGAGAACACAGCTTTACAGCAACTAGGAGGGTGCTCCATGCAACTTTCCTGGAAGTCCCTGGATGAACTGACAAAGCCTGAACTTCAATGACAATCAAAACCATCCTGTCGGGATTCAGAAAGGCCGGAATAATTTTGCCTGGATCTGAGGCTGAGTCTGATGACAGCTACACAGAAGAGGAAGCGGCGCGCTGTTTACCTCATGGGTCTATGGTTTATCTCTAGAGGTTGCATGGAAGTGACACCGAGGAGAAGAATTCAGTGGATTTAATGATTTGGAGTGAGATTGTGAGTTTGGTAAACTTATGTTCTGTTGTTTATGATATAATTATCTGAAGAACTGTTCATATGTTACGTTAACATTCATTAACATATTACAGCCTATTCAGTGTGTTGTTCTCTGTTCTGTTGTTATTACTGTAACTTGCCTTTCAAGATGAAATGTCGATTCCTGGTCTCTGATTTTATAAAATACATTTTCCCAAAAAGTGCGACTTATATATGTTTTTTTCTTCTTCATTGCGCATTATTTGGCTGGTGTGACTTATAATCTGGAAAATACGGTACATGAAGTGTGTCCAAACTTTTGACATCGCTACATCGCACCTTTTCTATCTTATTCTAACTTTTCCTGTCCTTCACTCTGACCGCAGTATTGTTTGGAAAAAGTGTCCCACGATACATCATATACAGTCCTAGTTATCCGTAATAAATGGTCAGAAGAGTGGCCAGGGAGGAGGAGGAGAGGTGAGGCAGAGGACAGGGTTTGTGAGCTGAGTTTTAGCATGTACTTTTGGGTTTTACTTCAGAAGACAGGCTCTGTAGGAAACGTGGAGGGATACAGTGGGCTCGAGCTGCTGCACAGAGCTCCACTGATCTCTGTGCAGCTTCAAATGGGCTGTGAACTTCAAAAATGTCTCTTCTCACAAAACTTGAAGATTATATTAAATGGTTTGGACGGAGGAGTTTTCAGCCACTCATTGTCCTTGTTAGCTCTACTGCTCTGGTGCAAAACATTGTCTCTTATATGAAAATACAAGTGTAAAATCTACAATTAAACTATTCAAGCCTACAGCCCCTTTCCAAATACATACAAATAATTAAAAGATACTTATTAATTTATTGCTTCATATTTGGTGAACCAGTTTTTTTGACACCAGATGCCCTTCTAAGCACAACCAGCTACACTATCAGCATAAGTAATGAGGGTAAAACCTACATGAAGTTAAGATACATAATATAGATACATAAGATACAAATATTGGCAAAATACTGGATACTGACATTGACTCAAAAAATAAATACACTGACACTGGCCCACCCCTTGCAACATGTGCTTTTATTACTAGGGGTGTGCAAAAATATTGATATACCGTATTGTTTGTGATGATACAGTAGCTATATCGTGGGCTGCTGTATCGATTTTTTAAATTTATTTTTTTGGTATATTTTTCTAAATGATTTTGTTACAGAGCTACAGTTTTGTCAGCCTGATTCATCGGCTGGTTTCACTTTGTGGAAACTGTCTGACCTCGTAGCGCTAGGATTTGTTCGCTCGACAGTAAGCGGGTACTTTTTTTATTTAACCAATCGCTGCTATCTGGTTGTGGTGTATGTAATGCACCAAATCCCGCAGGAATAAGGGTAATAACGTCTTTCCCCTTGATAAAATTCACCAAACATTCTCTTTGTTCCGGCTTTAAATCCTCGATCTTGGGAATCGTTGCCAACACAGAATGTCTGTCTTTGTCTACATCAGGGGTGTCCAAACTTTTTTCATCAAGGGCCACATATCTAAACACAGATGAAGCAGAGGGCCAATTGAGGGCCATAGACTGGTGCTCAGTACAGTGAATAATTGAAATATGTGCATGTTTAACATGTTAGAATAATCCATCAGTCTTTATTCATGCTAAGATCCTCAAAACCACACACAAAATATGAAATATCAGCTTTATCAAGGTAGATTTTCCAAAAACTTGCAGTAAAAAGTTATGTTTTAATTGATGCAAGGTAATTTGGGCCAATTTTCCAGGAAGCCTGAGGGCCGCATTTGGCCCCCGGGCCATAGTTTGGACATGCCTGGTCTACATCCACCTCGACCTCTTTGTTTACTGTTGTGCTGTACCACAAAAGGGACCCAGTCAGATGCTTGAGTTTGACGTCAGGGCTTCACAGCTCTTCACTGATTGGCAGGTGCGTGGTCTACAACTTCCGCAGTTCTTGCAAACCTTGTAGTGTATACTGATTCCTAACCTAGTCGCTGGAGAGAAATTAAATTGAATGTAGGAACTAGGTGGCGCCTGCCTGGCTACAGTTTTGTTGCTTTTTCAGAGGAAGCAAACTCATTTATGCAACACATTTGACATTTCACTGTTTTGAGGATGTGTTTCATATCAGCTTTTCACAAGAAGTGGTTTAACTAAGACTTTGGGTATCACAGCCATGATTTAGCCATTATTTTTTATTGAACTGTCTTGAATCGATTTGAAATAAATTGTATCGAATCGAAAGCTCACTGTATCAAGATATATATAGTATCATGGGCTATGTATCAATGTATGTATCGTATCGTGGCCTATGTATCGAGGTACTGTATGCAACTTCCTAATGATACCCAGTCCTGTTTATTACTTTGGTGTACTTTTGTAGAAGCACATAGAGCAGTCTCAATCGGAAACAGGACTCTGCATAAGTAGGTGCAGACTGAACCGAGAGCGTGTGTGTGTGTGTGTGTGTGTGTGTGTGTGTGTGTGTGTGTGTGTGTGTGTGTGTGTGTTACAGAAGGTGACGGGAGAAAGCAGTTCCTCTTTTTGGACCTGGGGCTCTGACTGTGTGGTACAACAGACAGGCTTAGGCTTGTCACTGTCAATGCACCTTCTTCCCCTGAGCCAAGAAAGAGGGAAACAGGGAAACAGAGAGCGAAAGAGGAAAGGGGGGGCGGAAGAGAGCGGGAGAAAGGGGGAGAGAGAGCGAGGGAGTGGAGTGGAAGAGAGGGAGAAAGAGACCGAGAGACCGCAGGAGACTGTGTGGTGTGGGCGCCCTGGCAGCCGGCCACAGTCAAAGTCAAGATGGCGTCGGTGGGAGTGCCAGCCCTCACAGCGCTGACTCACTTTTGAGGTTAGGTCTGTGTTGGTACAGTGGAGTTATAGGGTGACGGAGCGCAGATTTCCCCCAGGGCCCAAAAATGAAATGAAATTAATCAGGGTGAAGGAAAGGCAAGGGAGCACTGAATCAAGAGACTGCAAATAAAACGCTTGCCGCAGGTATAGATCAGGTCGCATGTGCAAGCAGCTACATAGAAGATCACTTTACTGTATTAAAAACGCAACTGGGATTGTACGTCTAACACAACCAACTACAAGCTTCTACCATTTCCTATTGTGTCAGAGCAACATTTATCTTGCCACAGTACAAATATATCGTATAAGCAGCTATTGAGGTCAAACTATGTCGGCTGTGATCTGTTTGGAAGTTATTATAAAGCTGTTCATTGTTAGATTAGATCCAGTCTGTTATAAACTCATCACGGTGAATAATTATGATGTTCAGAATGCATGAAGCAACTGTGCTAATGAACTAGTTTTGTTTCTCAAGGGTTTAACACAGTAAAAATCAGCAACAATGCCCTTTAATTTTACTTTGTTGAACTAGAAATTGAACTGAAATGACACAACTTTGCATCTAAAACAGTCAAGATAATCATTTTTCAGTTAGGGGGTATTCTACGGTGAGCAGATTTTCAAAATTCTAAACTGGGACACACTCGGGTGGAGATGGTCGGTATGAATAAAATTGTGAAAAGAGCGTGTAAGATTGTGCATTCTCGCGTCAGTCATAATCTGAGGGGGTTCTGACGCTGCATTTTTGTGTTTTGTGGTCATTCGCAAATATGGTTTTCTGTATTTTGGCAAAACAAATTATAATTTATGCTCCTCTTTACTGTTGGTGACGGTTAAGAACAGTCAAAAAATAGTGATAGTCCTGGTTTAGTCTTAGTTTATTCCTGGTTTAGACCTGATGTAGTCCCGGTTTAGTCTTGATTTAGACCTGGTTGAGACCTGGTTTAGACCTGATGCATTCCTGGTTTAGTTTTAATTTAGTCCTGGTTTAGTCTTAGTTTAGTTCTGGTTTAGACCTGATGTAGTCCTGGTTTAGTGTTTGTTTAGACCTGGTTTAGACCTGGTCTAGTCTTAGTTTAGTCATGTTTTAGTCCTTGTTTAGACCTGATGTAGCCCTGGTTTAGTCTTAATTTAGTCCTCGTTTAGCCCTGATGTAATACTGGTTTAGAGTCTTTGTTTAGTCCTGGTTTAGACCTGATGTAGTCCTGGTTTAGAGTCTTAGTTTAGTCCTGTTTTAGTCCTGGTTTAGATCAAATGTCCAGGGTAAGCAGGGACGTGTGGTCACCCTGGCGTAATCACTACTATTCATGAACTGATTAATCTCCATAACCACCATGAAATTGTTCTATAGTCATTTAAGAATTCCACAACATCTAATAGGCTTTCGTCATTTGTATTTTTCCATGTCAAATGATATACAGCGTATCTTTTGTGGTATATATTTACACGGACATGCTAACTACTACTTCACACGAGCAAATCGTTCTCATATGAACACTCAGACGCCACATTAGCCTTATTGCTATTGTGCTGCTCTATTAGTCGCTCAAACGGTTAGCATCAAACAAAGCAAAACACTGTTAAAAAGGCACATTAAGAGTCCTTCTGTCAACAAGCAACTCCATTTTTGCCCTTAGATCTGCGCTCGGTTCAAAAGGCTGCGATCTCCCTCTCCACCTGCCCCCTCCCCTCTTCATAACCTAGCTCATTACCACAACAAAGCTCCGTGTCCTGTCATTACCACGGAAGTCCATGTCGGGGCCCATTGTCTTATCAAAACACTCAAACTGCCCCAATTACGTGACCCACAAAGACGGCCGACCCCTGCCCAGCACTGCCCTGCTCCTCCTCCTCCTCCTCGCCAGCTTCATCACGAGACAAACGCGTACCCCCCCCTTTCCCCCCCGGGGCTGTTCCTAGGGCATCCTTTTGTCCGACCCGCTTTTTCTGAGGAGTTTTTTTTTTTTTTTCCTAATGGGGTTGTTTGGATGCGGGGAGGCTGGTGGCTGTCGCTAACCGCTGCTAAGATGCGAGCGGGATTTGCGGTTTCCCGTGAGGCGCTAATGGAGTCGGAGGTGTTTAAAGGGACACAGAGAGAATGAGAGTGTAATCGGCGAGCAGCAGGCAGGGGTTTTCAGCTAAAGAGTGCCACACGGAAGGATTATTATGAGATTTTTTTTTTTCCACTTGTGCAGTAGTTTACAAAATGCAAATGGGATCGAAGGTGGGGAGGAGGACTGGGAATCATTTGTTTAGGCAGGTCTCAATGCGCTGCTCCCATTGCAGCAGTTCAGAGAGTTGGACTTTGGGATAATTAGGCCATGTTGTCTCAATTTCTTTACAGCAAAGTAATAGACCAATATGGAGTTTTACAATGTAGTAATTGTAATTGTTCTAAGCTAAAGCAAGGATTACAAGAGGCGCAGGATCCCTTTAATTACGTATGATTTATATACATTACAGGTCTCAAGTTTGGACTCATCTACTCAAATGTTTTTACTTTCTGTTTACTACTTTCTTCATTTCAGATACATACTGAAGACCTCAAATACATGAAGCAGGATGTATGGAATTATGTCACAAAGAAACAAATGTTTGACTCCTCACAGTAGCCACTTTTTATGTTGACAGTCCTTGGACTTCTCTCAATGAGCTTCATGATCAAGTGCCCCGAAATGGTTTTTGGCCTTCACAGATTTGCCTTGTCAGGGTTCAAGCCGAGCAGTCAGGCTGGCACCACCTTGTGCCTCCGCGCAATTTCATTTCTCTCCAGCGACTAGGTCAGGAATCAGAATACACTAGACGGTTTGCAAGAACCCCGGAAGTCCGAGTCTGGACACCAACCAATCAGCGAAGAGCCATACATTCTGTGTTGGCAACGATTCCCGAGATCAAGGATTTAAAGCCGGAACAAAGAGAATGTTTGGTGAATTTCATCAAGGGGAAAGACGTTACTGTCCTCCTTCCTACTGGATTTTGCAAAAGCTTAATATACCAGTTAGCCCCGTTAGTGGAGCATTATATACGTCACGACAAAATAGAAGCGATTGGTTAAATAAAAAAAGTACCCACCTACCATCGAGAGAACGCATTCTAATGCTGCAAGGTCAGACGGTTTCCATGAAGTGAAACCGGCTGATGAATCAGGCTACATGCCGAGAGGGTGCAAAGGGTGAATATTTGAAAGAATCTAACATATAAAAACATCCTTTGAGTTATTATTATTATTCATAGTTTTGATTCCTTCAGTGAAAATATACAATGTAAAAAGTAAAAAAAGTTGAATGCTATATTGAAGTAGTCAGTAAAAGTACACTAGAAATACACTAGAAATACACTAGAAAAGACGTCTTCTCTAATGACATCAAATTTTAGCTGCCACTACCACACAGTAGAACAGTAGAACCCATCTGTACTGCCCGTGAAGCCTGGAGTAGAGCACTGACCTTGTAGCGTCTGCAGGCACTGGCCCGTCTTGATGTCCCAGATCTTGACAGTGGAGTCTGCGTTGCCAGATACCAGGATGTTGTCCTTGAGCTCCATGCCGCTGGTCAGAGATTGGTGTCCCGTGAGCGTGTGGATGCAGTTCCCCGTCTCCACGTCCCACACCCGGATCGAGGTGTCCAAAGAGCCGCTCACTACGTGGATTCCATCGAACTGCAGGGACGAGAGCCAAGGGTTTAGTGTGCATCTGAGGCATGGTTATAGATGATATTTCTACATATATCAGTACTAGTATCAGTTATTGAAAATATTTGGCATCAGTATTTTTTCTGCACTGCACCAGTCTGCATGTGTCCATGTGCCATTCTCAGTTGGTCTCCAGTAATCAACAGATTTATTTTTTTGGACAGACTCATGAGTAAAAATATGGCTGTATGTTTGCACAATTCTGCAAGAAATTATTTTATATACCAAATAAATGCATTCTGTTTATTTTTACAAAAGCCAAAAACTACAACGTCTGAACTTTAATATAACTTAACCTAAAGTTGTGGTCATTAAAATGGATTTTAAAGTCTTAATATGATAGTCTGAAATATTGGATGTCAGTATCAGCAAAGAAAAAATAAATAAATCCATAGTTTAACCATTTGGTATGCTCACAATGTAATCTGTTAACAGTGCCAGAACATTTAAGGAATTTTAGGTATTGGATGATAACTAATGCAAAACAACAACTAGAGAATGCATTGAATATTTTAAAAACTTTCAATATTTTACCGATATTGTAAACGTAAAATAGACCAAAACAAGAGTAAAACTGGTTAAAACATACTTAAGGAACATGCCAATATTGTAATTTCAAAAACAATTCCCCAATATATGCTTCATCCCTACAAACTTTACATGAAAAATGAGTTAAGAGTTGTGAGTTGAGTTTAGCTAAAGTGCGCGGTCATCGCAGAGCACCAAGAGGACACTTTGAGCAAACGCCGCAGGTCAATGATGCAGAGAAGACGCAAGATCAGAGCTTTTGCAATCAGATTAAGGAGGAGTAGAGGTGAAAGGAGCCAAGCAAACAGTCCCGCCGAGCACATCCACAGGGACTGTTATGGTAAAGGGTGTGCGCTAATGGAACAGGGGAGTTGGCTGTGGTATGTAAGAGACGGGGACTTTTGACATTTAGCAAACAGTGGGATTAGCTCATGTTTTCCGACAAAGTTTCACAAAAAAAAAAAAAAAAAAGAGCTAAGCTAAGAATGATGCTGTGACTGGTGCACTTGTAATGACGATGATGACGTAATGATGAAACTAAAACAAAACAAAATAAAACAAAAAAGTAAAGTGTAGTATTTCTTGTAAGATGATTCATTCTAGTATACCAGTTTTCCTAGATTTGTTACTTTCAATCCTTGGTCACTAAAGGCACTTGGTTTGAAGCAGAGTTCAGACTTTGGAGGAAGAAATTTGATAATTTTGTGTGATTTAATTCAAATTTGGATAAGAATGAAAGCTTGTCACAATAATTACTATATCGACTTGTTCAGTATACCATATGGAAGCTGGAACAATATATTCTGGGTCTTAATATTTATTTGTTAGCAAAAGTGGGGAGATTTTATTTATTTTTATATATTAGCATGAGGTTTGATTTCTGTATAGAATAAGGGAGGTAGAATAAATAACTTCTATAGCTATTTCTTGGTTAATTCTGCAATTTACTTCTTACAGTTCATGAGTTTTAGTTTTAGTGATACTTCACATTTAAAAACAGGTCCATTGGGTTATCTTGCTTTGTTAGTGGCCTAAAGTAGTTTTAATATTATCATTTATCGCAGTGTTTCTCTGTAGCGATATAGCATGCTTGAGACTGGACTAGTAAAGAGTGTACCCTATCACCCAACGATATTAGTGTTGTTAATCATGGACGTACCTGTAAAGAGTAGACTCTGTTGGTGTGTCCCTGCAATGTGTGGAGGCAGGTCTCGGTCTCGGGGTCCCACACTTTGACCATGAAGTCGTAGGCACCACTGACCACCCTGCGCCCGTCGTACTGCACGCAGCGCACAGCAGCCACATGCCCCATCAGCACGTGTAAACACTGACCGCTCTCGATGTCCCACACACGAAGGGTAGCGTCCCGAGAGCCACTCACCACCCTGGAGAGGAAAGAGGGGAGGGGTCATTGTACAGGTAGCATGGGACTTGATTTGGTGTAAACTAGTGAGACCTATACTACTTCACATCTTTTAAACACAGCATAGAGGAAAGTATCTTAATCAGGACATTCGTTTTAATCAAATTAGTCACTTTTTAGCAAAAAATAGACTAAAATAAAATCATGTTTTTTCATTTTGCTTTTGTTTATTTCACTTCAAAATTTGCGTCCTTATTGCAAGTGGGTTTGTATTTTTTTTCTTATTTGACCTGAAGGAGGCTCTGCCCTGCTTGTTTCCATGGAAATATACTGCATGGCATAAAACATTTCTCCATGGAGAAGTATGGTCTTAACTTTCTATTTCCCTGGAATCATGCTGGTGACCTGATACCTTTACAAGTTCCATACTGTAGCTGTGCCTGAGCATCTTTTCTGGTGGAGGGTCCACAACATGCTAGTCTCCATGGAGATGTTATTGCTTTGCCTGGAAGGTTCCATGGTATGACATTAAACGTATCCACCTAGCTATTATTCATTATGGGAATTTCTGTTGCTTGAAAATACAGCAATTCCTTCTGTGAGTAGGGGCAACTCTCCACAGACCTGAACTGTAATGTAGCACAGTGCTGTAACTGGCTTGTCTCCTTTGTGATAAGATTATTCTATACAGTGGAACATTTTAGATAAAGCAGTAACATCTCCATGGAGATAGAAGATGGCAGACCTGCAATTAGAAATGTTACACAGTGCTCCTTTAACTTGAAGGGTGCACTGTGTAAGTGTGTTAGCATGTCAGAGACTGAATAATAATAGGTGTACATGTTTTTAATTCATCATAAATCAGGCTGTAGGTCACGCATTTGTTTGTAAAGCTTTAGCAGTCTTGATTTATTACTTTTAAAACATTTTGCAAGACGATTATTTAAACAAACACAACTGTATCGGTGCTGTTCACAAAATAACAAATCCAACGGCAGACATGACATTTCGAAAATTGTTCACCTCAGTTAATCCGTACAACATCCAAGTACAATACCGTTTAACCCAAGGTGTGGCGCAAACCATTTCAAATGATTTACAGTGAGTTTGAATGCATAGGAGCAGTGTCTGACAAAAGGTCCACCTGTCTGGAGATTTGAGAGCGGCCATGGGTTTGAATAGGCTACACAAGAGTTCATTCACACGTGTGACAGCTGCATTGACAGAATAATGAAGCAGGTATGGTGGTTAAGCTCCGACAAACACTAACCCACAGCGTCATCGTCATGTTAGCACTTGAATGTACAAACACTGTATTAAGTCGAAGCAGAGGGGAAGAATGGCTGTATTATAAGCACCCGCCGGACAGGAACTCCCTATAGCCAAATGACATATATGGGAATTTTTACATTGTTTCTGAGAACTATGTTGACAGAACAGGTTTTCTTACATGATTTACAATAAGGAAGACTTGAATATTGTCAGATTTTACTTGGATTGATAAACTAAATACTGTATGAGCTTTATAAATATGTTCTATTTTTGTTTCTTTCACAAATGTTTGACACAGTTTTTCTCTCAAACAGAAAACACTTGTGACATTGTGTGGTAATAGACTTTAAAACTTAGTTCGTTTTTTATCTGTCGACTCTTAAAAACTACATCCAGAGTATTTTACAGGATAATTGCTCATTTTAACACTTTTATGTCTTTAATCTGCAAATGTTTCACTGTCTTATATCTCTATTCACTGTTTCATGTTCTAGTTTTTGAGAGAATGTTTTTTGTTTGTGTTTCTGTTTTATTCTGCTTCTTAGCCAGGTCGTTACTGTAAATGAGAAGGAGTTCTCAACTGACTTACCTGGTAAAATGTTGAATAAATAAATAAAATAAAATACATGAAGTGTTCCACTGTGTTTTTAAACTCCATACACCTTCACTAGAATCATTTAGATAATTTCATGCCTGGAATTGCTCAATTTTTCTGAACTAAAGTTAAAAGATGTTAAAAAGAGCATTTTGAACTAAGGTTTACTCAAAAAAGAACAAATCTAGGTATGTTTTTGATGAGGTAACAACATTTAACATCAATTATAGCCCACAAGAGTTAATCTTTCATAATATAGGATCTTTAAAATACAGTATGTACATGTGCAATGGTGAAACCAAACTACTATTACTGCAGTATCTATAGTAGTAACCATCCTATTTGTGATGCCAAGTTTGCACTCACATTACTGAATATTTCATTTCAGCTTGGAATTAATTTAATCTTTCTGCAAGGTACTGAAGTCTCACTCTAAGCTTTATTATGACCTTGTTGTGTTAATTAGATAACAAATTGGTTCAGTATTGCCATAATAAAATGTAACCAGAAAATAGCTGTGTAAAAATATGAGGAGCATTTAGAGCCCATTCAAATCCTAATCCTGCTTTCGATTCACACACTATTTAGACCTTATTACCAAACAGCCCAGAATTAAATGAATGAAAAAATCTCCAACATGTTTGACCGACTGCCTGCAGCTCACAGCGTTGGCACCGGCTGAAAAATCAAGTACTACACAAAACCTCGGTGGGCCCTGGGGCGGAAAGAGCACTTGGACTCTCCGGAGTGCAGTAATGAGTGAATGGGTGGGCTTCATGTGGTCTGTTTAAACACTATGAGGCTGCATGCTCACTTGGGCACAGATATGGCCCTCCAAGGACTCGCTCTTTTGCCTGCTAGGGTTACAAGTCTCCTCATGGCGGGCTGGCGGCAAGAAGTAACACAATGTAGCTATGAAGCAACACTCTTCTATTGTCTGGTGGGTCTAATGCAAGTAGGGCACTCAGAGGAACGTAGCATTATGAAGAAACCTTTCCTTTCTTATACTATATATTACAATAAATTAATGGCTTATTTAAAATGTATACAGGAGGGTTTGAAAGTGGGTTTGGATACAGCCCTGGTCAATTAGAAAGTACCGTATTTTACGCACTATAAGGCGCTCTGGATTATAAGGCGCGTCATTGAATGGTCTATTTTGGAACTTTTTTAACAAATAAACCGCCCCAGACTATAAGGCGCATTAAACGAAACACAACAGTTGGATGGGTCAGTCGGACTTCATTTGGGACATTCACGGTGACTCTGGGCTTTGTTCAGTTGTGGCGTGTAGGGAGGGTGCTGTCTGGGACCGCTGGATTGTTGGCGTGTTCGCAGTGACTCAGTAGTTCAGGTGTGTTTAGAAGTGGCACACTGCACTTGTTTTTTCGGTTCGTTCCTCCGTTCCATTCTTCATCCGCATGGAGTGATGAGTGTGGCTGCGGGTGTTTGTCGCTGCGCGGTCGCTGTCTGCTCCGTGCGTGTTTGCGTGCGCTGCGGGTGGTGCCCGAGTGGATTCGTGTATAGGGCGCTCTGGATTGTGGGGCGCAGTCGCTTTTTGATGGGGTTGGAGGCTTATGAGTGCTCCCCAATAGTGCAGAAAATACGGTAGTTTGATAGCATATGGCAATTAATTTAAAATGAAATTGAAATCAAAGTTATCTGTAACAACAATTTTACACTACCAAAACAGATTTGGACTAGTTGCTTACAAGCAAAAACTGAGAATAAACCAGGTTAGCTGACAGTGCTAATTCTGTTAACTAACCTTTACTGCTAGGGAACTGTCTAAAAGCTTGGAATTTCATCGAGTCTGCACTTAATGTTCAATCTCAAGCATGACAACCCGCTTTTAAACTCTTTTCTTATTCACCCGAGCTGCCATGTCTAAAAAACAGACTTTTTGACAAGACAAAGCATAAATTAGACTTAAAATTCTAACAAAAAATCATCCAGTTTTTCTTGTACTTTCAGTTAATGGATCAGGGTGGTACTTTTCTTCCCTCAAACACAGTAATGCCAAACAGCCACTTTGTGTTCGCGGTTATGCTTGCAAATGTTGAGATTTGACAATACATTTTTTCACAATCAGTAGAGGTGTAACGATATCCAAGTCTCACGATACGATATCGTCACGGTATGAACCCCACGCTACGATATTTATTGCGATATCATGGGAAAGCTCACGATATGGCGGGGAGGCTTACGATTAGGAATGTAACAATATCCAAATCTCTGTAGGATATTTTCATGATATACATTTCACGGTATGATATTTATTACAATATTTTGTGGAGGCTAAAAAAACTGTTATTATGCTACTTTTTCCTCTAAAAATGCCTTGACCAGATTTAATCCAAAGAACTAAGACATAAAAGTGCTAGGAACTGTTATTTTTTCTTGTAGTCTGCACTGAAATAGAGCAAAGGATCATGGTCTATGTAATTCTGTTTTTTTTTGTGTGTTTTTTTTAAAGCTGTTGCTGCACCATAACTCTTAATTTAAGCAAAGTAATTCGATATTGTGATGGTCCACGATATTATTGTGAGAACTTTGACGACACAATATCACAATATTTCAGTTATTCTTACATCCCTAACAATCAGTAATTTCAGATTTAGGAATGTTTCTTTACCTTAATATTTGCTGTAATTACATCTGCTAATTATGAAATTAACACACAGCAATCAGCTTCGATTGACATGAAACGCTGAGCCTCATCCCCGGACAAAATGCAGAGAATTTAGCGCGTCAATGCTTTCATTTTGTACACGTATTTCAACTTAAAGCACTCAAAACCTCCTTGGACTGTACTGTTAGTAATAAATCCAGATAAATTACAATGCGCTTAAGTGGAAAAGCATTGGCTAAATTAGCTGATTGGTTACAGTAGCTGTGTCAATTCCAAACACATTATCAGAATTAATGTGAACAGCAAAATTAAAGAAGCCATTTAAACTAATTATGTGAAACTAATTATACCCATCGGCTATAATTATTACTCGTAAACAATCTTATCAAATATATTACATTTCTTATCCTTCCATCAGCCTGCTCTCTCCACACTGTTTATTGACAAAAGCTACGTCGCTATTAAACCCAGCGTTGACCCGTTTTGTTATTTTAAACAGATAACAATCTTAATACGTAATGGGAGGTACCTTTTCTCGTGTAGGTGCATGCAGCGCACAGTTGAGGTATGTCCGTACAGGGTGTGGATACATTCTCCGGTCTCGGCGTTCCAGACTTTGAGTGTGCGGTCAGTAGATCCGCTGATGATGATGTTGTCCCTCATTTGGGATGACCAGACGCCTCCCGTGTGACCAACCAGCGTCCGTAAGCACTGAAAGAGAAGATAGAGAAGTCTTTTTAAAGGTTCTAGACCACACAGAATGGATTCTTGTGAGCGTTAAGCAATGTTATAATGTAGTGTCCTCCTCAAAAACATACCCCGAGGTGTGTTTTGTTTCATTCACACATGTTTGCGTAACTCTTTATTATTAGTCTCTCTACATCTCCAAAGCTCAAAATGGTCTGTTCCACCTTGTGATGTCATGAAGCGGTAGTTTTCATGTTAATTGCTACCTTTTACCTTTTGTTTTGTAGAGCAGTGTTCCCCAAACTTTTTTCTGGGGACCCATATTTTAAAACTCACAAACCTTTTGTGACCCAAGTCAATAGACATTATTTGTAAATCACAAAATAAAGGTGGATTTAACCATTATTTAACATTAATGAGGATATTTGACTGTTGACTGAGTGATCGTGTCTCCCTGAACAGTTAATATTACTCAAGTTTTAAATGATGAAAAAAAAGTCATTGAAGCAGCAATAAAAGGATCCATAAGTCGCCTATTTGGACATTAAATATAGTACTTTTCTTTTTCTTTTCAACATTCAATTGAACCAGCAATACTGGAACAAAATAGTCAATTAAATAATTACAAAAAGATTAAAAATTATACAAAACATGTCTTAACATTTCAACCTTTCTAATGAGATAGGTGGGCCTGTCTGTGTTTTTGTAGCTCGTTCCAGGCCGAGTGCAGGAGAAGATTGCAACAGCAGATCAGACATATTGGCAGAACTGTATATTTCAGACCTACATGCAGATCATGACAAAGAGACCCAAAAAAAATCTATTGCGACCCACCTGAGGGTCACGACCCAGTCTTTTAAAAACAATGTTGTAGAGATTGACAATTCCAGCGCTAAAAGCATCCAAATGATTCTTGTTAATGTTAACTGTATTATGTATAGTTGTTTTAATGCATCTCTTATTCTGTAAAGCACTTTTAATTACGTGTGTATGAATAAACTTGCCTTGCCTAGAGAAGGGTTTATAGAGTTTAAAAACACAATGGAGCACTTCCTGTACTACCACATGACAATACAATGTGGAAAAGAGTGTTTCCAGTTTGAAAGAAGAACTCAGCCTAAATAAGCAGGGTTTGTGTGAATGAAACAAAATAGAACTTCGGGTATGCTTTTGATAAGGAAACTACATTATAATACTGATCAGAAAACAGCACAATATGGGCCTTTTAAATCCCATAGCCTATGCATAGATTTCTAAGCAATAAGAAAGTCACATTTGGGATTTGCTCCTTGGTCCCTTGGTTTTGCCTTGAGGGAGAAAGCAGACAGGTGGAATGAATGTGCAGTGACCTTTTGAGAGAAGGGGGACGTCTACTGTTGGCACCTGCTGCTGCATAAGAGCAAATGCCACAGCTTTTCTTCAGATTTTATAATTGCCTGTAGTTATCAGAATGAAAGAGGACATTTGTGGCACAGTTCAAATGGAGCTGTGTGGCATATATGAGGCAAGCGTACTTCAAGGACTTTTCAGTGTTAGAGGAACTTATGTTTACTGGGACCGGGTATCATTACGAAGTTGCCGATACGATACATATTTTGATACATATGCCACAATATGATAGGTTTTTAGATACAGTGCACTTTCGATTCAATACAATTCGTTACGATATATATTTCAAATCAATTCCATATGGTTCAGAAAAAACACAGACTAAATCATGGCTCTGATACTAAAAGTACTAAGCCCACGAAGTTTGTGCCAAGTTAATATGAAAAACATCCATTTTACTCAAAAGAGTGAAAATGTCAAGATAACTGTATCTATTACACAAAATAATTGAGTAAAATATACCTAAAAACACTCTTGGCAATAGATCGATACAGCAGCCTATGATATCAATACTGTATCATCAAATTAAATAATATGATATATCAATATTTCAATATTTTTGCACACCCCTAATATTTACATTAAGTCATGATATGATATCGTCACGGTATGAACCTTACGGTACGATATTTATTGCGATATCGTGGGAAAGCTCACGATATGGTGGGGAGGCTCACGATTAGAGATGTAACAATATCCAAATCTCTGTACGATATTTTCATGATATACATCTCACGGTACTATATTTATTGTGATATTTTATGGAGGAAAAACTGTTAATGTGCAACTTTTTCATCTTAAAATGCTTTGACAAGACTTAATTCAAAGAAATAAGACTTAAAAGTGCTTAGAACTGTTATTTCCTTTTGTAGTCTACACTGAAATACAGCAAAGGATCATGGTCTATGTAGTTCCTTCCGTCTTTTTTTTTTAATTATTGCTGCACCAGAACTCTTAATTTAAGCAAAGAGACTTTGCTTAAGTAATTTGATATATTGTGATGGTCCACGATATTATTGTGAGAACTTTGACGATACGATATCACAATATTTTGAATATTGTTACATCCCTAAGTAGTAGCAAAGGATTGTTGCATAAAACTTGAAGACGCTGGTTTCTGGATCAGACATCAGCTTCCAAATACTGGTTTAGATGATATCTTGGTTGGACATAAAAATAGTTGTAATAAAACCATTTCATTGATTGTTTTATCTTATTGTGATCTCTATTCCCAGGTGCCTTCTGTACATTTGGCAAAGGATGACAGATGGAAACTACTCTCTTGACTAAGTCTGGCATATCCTACAGTATTACTGCTGGGCAATAGGCACGGTCCTTGTTATAAATAAACAAAAATAAATTAAAACGTACTAGTCCAGAAAGTCTCATAATGTGTGAATTTTAAATATTTATACAAAGTTGTTCTGAAGTTACTATAGTATCAGAATCTGTATCGGAACTGAGAAAGATGGATTGGTGCATCCCTACTAACTATGTTATTTTAACCAATCAATTCAAGCATCATAAATTAACTGAGGAAAGCTCTTTAATTTGCTTGCATACTGCAGGAAAAAGTTTGACAATCCTATAATAAATAATAAACCAAATACCATTTAAGGATTACTACTAACACATGGCTGTACATTAGCTGTGTCAGGCTCTGTAAATTATGCAGCGCCTGTATGAAGTCACAGTTTACATAGCTTTGTGGAAACGCAAGCCTCGTCATGGGGTTTCCGGGGCAACCGAAACAAGCAAAACACTGGAGAGACAACACCGCTCCTCTGAACATCCACACCACACCACACCGTAACAAAGAATCACATTTATCCCCATTAACCACACTAGATTGCATATTGATTAAAGCGCTTATGGAAATCTCCGCTCGATAGCATTTGCATATCTTGTCTATTCTGTTTCTACATTCATTCAACGTTTTCTATTCGGATCCTGTGGGCTTTGGTTGCCAGGCTGAGAAGGTGCGTTCAGTCGCAGTGTACAACATGTGACCCCCTTGACTATAGCAGATAAGCCACGGAGGGGGTTTATTGCAAAGAGAGGAGGAGAAAGAGGACGCGCCTGCAGTACGGATCACTTCATTAACTACAGGCTAACGCGGCGTGACCTGACAATCAAAGCCCAGTGCTCCGCTATGGGTCTTGCTGCTTTATCACTATCATCTTGACTATTACCAAAGGAGAGATATTTTTAAAAAGACTCTCCATAAAAATCACTGAACCGCTGTATTTAGTATAAGGCAAATTCAAAACGTAAATTTGACAAAAAAGAAGCAGAAGTGTGGTTTCAGATTTTAGTGAAAGACCAGATTGTGAAACAGAGAAGCAATTCATGTACAGTCTCCTTGCGACTAAAGGTATAGAGTTATTAATACCATTTTCTTTGATGGATAATAATGTTGAGTGTTACTTACTAGTGTTGTCAGATGTATCAAAAATCAGATACAAATCGATAATAAAACTAGCATTGAAACTAGACACTTATTTAAGCAAAAACTAAAACTAACTACTAAAAAAAGTCACATTCACAGGACAGAAATGAATGAATAGCTTTAGAACAGGTGTGTCCAACGTTTTTCCTCTTCTGAGCTACTTTTACAAAACAAAAATGCCAGAGAGCTACTAGTTTTACTGGTAGCAAGAAATTGAGTAAATGTAAGAGCCTTTATATGGGGTATAGTTTGATGCCTATAAAACAGAGGTCTCCAATCTGTAGCTCTCCCCCCCCTTCCAAGTAGCTCGCCAAGGGATTTCTGAATCATATGTATTGCACTGAATAATTAAAATTTGGTTTGATTAAATGCCTGTTACCATTGTAAATGTATCATTCTGATGCCTGTCTTGATGTAACAATATCCAAATCTCATGGAACAATATTTTCATGATCTCACACTACAATATTTATTGCGATATTTTGTGGAGCTAGCAAAAAAATGACTTAAAAGTGCTTAAAACTGTTATTTCTTCTTGTGGTCTGCACCGAAATGGAGCAAAGGATCATGGTCTATGTAGTTCTCTGTCTTTTTTTTAGCAATTGCTGCACCATAACTTTATTCATGCAAAGAGACTTGTAATTCGATATACTGTGATGGTCACCGATATTATTGTGAGACCTTTGACAATACAATATCACGATATTTTGGTTATTGTTAGAACCCTAACATTAATACATATAATAGTTGTGTAAATGTATAATGTAAATAATTGGTAAATGTACCTTATCTAAGGCTCTTATATTTACTTTACTTTATTTACTTTAAATTTTTTGCGACTCCTAAATGAGTAGATCTCTTATAAAACATTTGCCCAATTATTATCCATTTATTAGTGCACAAAGTTAGGCACCAAAATTATACATGTACAATGACAATACGCATTTAATTAAATACGATTTTAGTTATTCTGCGCAATATGTATGATTCAGAAATCCCTTGGTGAGCTGCTTGGAGGAGGGGGAGGAGAGCTCCTGGTAGTTCCTAAGCTACAGGTTGGATACCACTGCTTTAGAATGATCTGAGCTGTATCAGAACAAGTATAAATGCATATAGACTAGGACCACTAGGGAACCTACCTGGACCACTGAGGGGTTACACAGATATACGAGTCATGATAATATAA